ATATTTGTTGAAAACTGCATAAATATTCTTAAATTTAAACAGAACATGTTTTATTTCAAACAGGAGAGTATAAAAAATAAAAACCCAGCCGGCCCATGTAAATAAAAAATTTAAATTTATGTCGATGTTTGTGTATATTTTTCTGATCTTTCCAAAGTTATCAAACTTAATGATTTACGTGAAACGGTTAATTTTTTTCATTAAACAGATCTCAGAAACTTTGAAATGTCCTTCGTAGTAAATTAGTGTTTTCGTGACATCCGTCCACAAAAAGCAAATTGGAAAAATCAGACAGTTAGACCTCTGAAAAAAGGCTATACAGGAGAACAGGAAGATTATCGACAAAAACGTTATCCGGGCTGTAAAGAACGTGATTGAAAGTCACCAACATCACACTATATCTCACAAATACCTGCATTTTTGTGGTTTTTAAGACAAAAAAAGAATATTCTTTATTTGTTTAATAGATTTTAAGCCTGACAAGAAATGGTTTTTGGATGTTGAGTAGATAAGGTCAGCAGGGGATGCTTACGCCTGATTCCGCCTCTGATGTTTCGGAGGTCCGTGTTTGCTCTTCTTCTGTTTTGTATTGTTTTAGATATTGACTTTTGATCTCGGATAGTATTAGTTATCTTCGTATGTTTCACAAAAGATATAGTGAATTATTTTCTGTGCTTCAGAGGAAAACTAACATAGCGAATGTTTGAAATTCCATCATTTAAATTTTATATTTGAAATTAAAATCACCTGAAAATAATATATTCATTTTGTATCGCCGACTAACTTATATATTTAAAACTTCCTAGTATATATTCGGTTGACAAACATGGTGTAAATTTTTTACTTATATATTTTAAAGAACTCTTTATAAAGTTATTAGAATTATTATAATATCAAAGCAAATTCATAGTTCCCCAGGACTGCTAAAGCACTGGATCACCAGGTAAAAAAAAATATCGAAATTTTCATACGTCATGGAGTTAATGAACAAAATTTCTGTGTTTTTATTTGTTTACCTGATCAATTTCCTCGATTTCCAATTAAGTCTTTGAGCGACGCATACAATGTTCTCAGTCGGAACATGTGATCAAAACATCCTTGTGAATGAGCAAAATAACAATTCCTGTATAGAATTTTTTTTACTTGGCGAATAGTAAATCTTCCTTTAGGTTTTATCTTCTTTAAACGTTTATATTTCTGTAAGTAATTAAGCAAAATATACAGATATAACAAATTCAATATATACAAATATAGGGTACACTTGCCTAGTGTTGATTAAGTAATATGTACAGAAACCCAGCTGCCACTTGGCTGTACAAAAGCCACTTGCCTATACCAACGCCACTTGGCTAGATTATACCAACGCCACTTGGCTAAATGAACACTTCTTCGCGATAGCCACTTGGCTATTCAAATGCCACCGGTTAGTTCTACCCACTTGGCTATGCAAATGCCAGTTGATACTAGTAATACAATAGCCCATTGGCTATATAAATACCACTTCGTACTTAACCCGACAACTGGCTAAACACGCTCAATATAAACTATGTCTGCTACGCTGATTACTTCAATACTTGTAATTCTTAGCCTTTAGACTTACAACAGTAACTGACAATATATCTACTACCAACAACTTGGTTTCAAACTTCAGACATTGAACCAACTGGTCATTTGCCTACTTATATAATCTACACACCAATGATAATAAGTGCGGGAATACGTATCTGTCATTTCCCGAGCATACCTTGCTCATCTTAACTAAACATTTGTTTTTGTTGTATTTGTATTTATAAAACATCCTTTCTTGTAAAACCATTTAATCAAATAACCAGTTAATTATATTATTTACAATTATTTATTGATTGTGCAATATGGCACAAGGGAGATAACTCCCAACCGTTTCATTTCTCCCCCCTTAGGTCATGCGTCCCGCATGATAATATGTACATGTAAATATTGCACTACTTGGTACAAAGAAAATAAACAAAACAAAATCATCTGTTAAATCTAAACACAACGTATTCAAGTCTTTGCTTCCTTTACAGCATTTTCTCCTTCTTAACAGTTATGACCTTCTTGCCACTCTCCTTGACAATGGTGGTCGTAGTTATGGACTTTGTGTAACGGACTGGTTCCGTCTGAGTACAACTGTCCACCATTCTTCCCTTGTTCAGCACCTCAGCAGACACACTTGTGTTAATTTGGGCATCCCTTTGCTCAGATTCAACTGCCGGTATCACACAAGGTCTTACTACCTTGGGTGGTGCTGGGCTGTAAACTGGCATCGGAGAAGTTCTCTTCCTCACTGTAGGATCATTTGTTGTCCCAGTCTCGACTTCTTGGCTCCTCTCTTCAAGATGCTCAGTTTCTATTGCCTCCCCAATACTAACATCTGGGTCTTTAGACAACCACGCCTCCTCGTCTTCTGATGAAGATCCATGTTCTCCATTTGTGTCTTTACTTCTTGTGGTATCTGCCACACTGTTGTTGTCACATGTATCCTCTATTACTTTGCTGCAAGAGGGACGATCACCTTCGTCTTTTTCACTTGAAGAGTGGTTTCTTTTCACATGTCGGAGATAATTGATCTTCTTCTCTGTACTGTAGTCACATTGCTTGCAGAAAAACCTGTTCTCGTAACATTGCGCCATATGGTCTCTCCATATCGTATGATTGGTTGATAGGAATGGGCAAAACGGACACTTCCGCACAGTACCCCCACGACTTGTTATTTTGGTTTTTGGCATGTTCCTACAATGACAAGAAAAATATTGATTTTGTGTTTAAAAATAAACTTTCAACAATTTACTACTTGACAAACAATAACATGTAATCAAAATAAGCTGGCTGCTATTTACAACTGTACCCCTGGCTAGGGTACCAATATACTAATAAACAAAGTCTTGGAGCCAACCGGGAGCTTTTCTGACTCTACCAGAACGAAGAGTTTCAAGGTTGTTGTCAACCTCGCTTGGTAGCTGTTCTATCTCCGGCTCCTCGCTTTCATCAGTACTTGGGCTTTCATTCGAAAGAGGACTTTCTTCCTCGTTTCTCAAAATTTGGTCACGCTTCAACCTGAGTCTGTCTACGTGTATAACTTGTGTCTTTCCACGTGACCCACAGTTCACCTTGTATGTAACATCAGTCACCTTGTCTATAATTTCATATGGCCCCCGCCAGTAGCTCGTGAACTTTGGAGACAGACCAACTTTGCGCAAAGGGAAATAGACATAGACATGATCTCCCTTGCTAAATTTTTGCCACGAGAGCTTCTGATCATGGTATTTCTTCTGCCGGACCATAGCTGCCTTGATATTCTCTCTGACAAACTTATGAGCCTCTTCCATTCTTTCTTTGAGTTGCCAAGCCCATTTGTTTTTGGGTATGTACTTCACTGCATTTGGCATTTCATACATTATGTCAAGAGGCGTAGATACCTCTCTTCCGAGCATCATGTAATTTGGCGTGAAACCAGTGGTTTCATGTACTGATGCCCGGTATGCCATCATTACATACGGCAGGTAACTGTCCCAGTCAGAGTGGTGCTCATTTACATATGCGCTCAACATTGTGGCAAGCGTTTCATTGAAGCGCTCTACCATTCCGTCACTTTGCGGGTGATACGGGGTGGTACGAGTCTTCTTTATTTGTAGCACACGGCACATCTCAGAGAAAAGTTCGCTTTCATATTGGCGTCCTTGATCCGAGTGGATACTGGACGGTACGCCAAATCTTGACACTACTTCCTCTACCATAATTCTTGCAACTGTAGCTGCCTCCATGTTAGCCATTGGAAAACTCTCAGTCCACTTGGTGAAGTAATCAGAGACAACAAGTATATACTTGTTGCCATTTTCAGTGACTGGGAGTTCCCCAAGGATATCCGTTGCAATTCTATCCATTGGTAATCCGCTTTCTACAAGTGTCATTGGTGCCTTCCTTTTCATCTGAGGATTCTTCCTTCTGGAGCACTTTTCACACCCTGCTATATAGGCCCTTGTATCTGACTGTAAACCTGGCCAGTAATACTTCTGGCGAATCCGTGCAAGCGTCTTGGTTACACCCAAATGACCAGCGGTCTTCATGTCATGGCAATATTGAAGAACCATTCTACGCTCTGTTGCTGGTACTACTGCCTGCAAGCTAGAGAAGTTTCCTTCCGTGTACTTTCTGTACAAGACATTATTTTCCAGAATAAGGATACCCCATTGAGACCAAAGAGATCTTACAACATATCCTAAGCCACTTTGTCTTTGTATTCAGGTCGTCTTTTCTCAAGCAACCAACTTTTGACCAGTTTCAAGTCACTGTCCTGATCTTGTATATCTTTTATCTTACAATATGGCTCATCAATAGCGCTTGCTTTTGCCGCATTGCAAACGGGTGCCTCTTTGTCTGGTTCATATCCGCATTGGCGACATGGAACTCTGCTTAGGGCATCTGCATTTCTATGTTGCAACCCGGGACGATGCTGGATCTGGAACTTGAAAGCGCTGAGTGTTTCCAGCCACCTAGCCAGTTGGCCCTCAGGATTCTTAAACTGAAACAACCATCTCAGCGACCCATGGTCACTGCGGACAAGGAACTCCTTACCGTAAAGATAGTGCTTAAAATACTTTACAAAGTGCACTACAGACAGAAGTTCTTTCCTTGTCACGCAGTACTTTCGTTCACATTTGGTCAGGGTCCTGCTTGCATATGCTACTACTCGCTCACTGCCATCTATGTTTTGTGACAACACTGCCCCAATGGCCTGATCACTCGCATCTGTGTCCAATACAAAGGGCAGATTGAAATCCGGATGTGTTAGAACAGGAGAATTGGTCAGGTGGTGCTTTAAGCTTTCAAAAGCCTCTTGGCACTGACTTGTCCAGATAAATGGTTTCCCTTTCTCTGTCAAGGTATGGAGACATTTGGCAATGGCAGAGATGTTCTTTATGAAGCGGCGATAATATCCGCATAGTCCCAGAAATGACCAAAGCTCGGTGACGTTTGCAGGCACCGGCCATTCCTTCACTGCAGCAATTTTGGTTGGATCAGTGGCCACACCCTTCTCAGAGACAACATGGCCAAGGTAAGTTACCTCTTTTGCAAAAAGGCAACACTTTTTGGCTTTTAACTTTAAGTTTGCACCTTGCAATCTGTCGAAGACTTTGGTCAGGTTATCAAGCATCTGGTCAAAAGTCTTACCGGTGACAATGATGTCATCTAAGTAGACTAGACAGATGTCCCATTGTAGCCCTAGCAGAACACTCTCCATCAACCGTTCAAAAGTTGCTGGTGCGCAACTTAAGCCAAACGGCATGACATTAAACTCGAAGAGACCTCGCCTTGTGGCGAATGCAGTCTTTGGCTTGTCAGCTGGCGCCATCTCCACTTGCCAGTATCCGGAGCATAGGTCAAGTGTAGAAAACCAAGAGGATCCCGACAACTGGTCTAGAGACTCATCGATCCTCGGGAGTGGATAGGCATCTTGGAGTGTACAACTATTCAGCCGACGGTAGTCTACACAAAACCTATGCGTCCCGTCCTTCTTCTTGACTAATACTATTGGTGATGACCAGGGGCTACTTGATGGTTGAATAACACCTTTCTCCAACATGTCATCTATGTTCTTGTCAACCTCGTTCATCAAATGGGCTGGTACTCTCCTTGGCTGTTGTTTAATGGGTCTGCTGTCATCCGTCTCAATGTGATGTTTGACTATCCCTGTTCGACCAAAGTCAAAGTTGTTCTCTGCAAACAGACTTGTGTATTTAATAAGAAACTCTTTTGCCTTCTGTCTCTGTTCTGGAGTCAACCCGCTTTCTGATTTTCGGAGCAAATCAGCAAGATCCTTGCGTAGCTCTTTAAATGGTAACTTGTCACCAGACAAAGGCTTCTTCTGTATTTCCCCAATCTCTGTCAGCTGTCCTACAACTGTTCCTGTATGCAATACCTTGGACTCCTCACTGACGTTCATCAACCTTACAGGAACTATTTCCCGTGGACGCACCATCGTCCTTGCTGTCAGTGTACTCTCATTCATAGTCTCCTTGCATACTGGCTCCACTATACTGTCGCATTTTGGCAGATTTAAGCCATCTGGTACACATACTTTTCCTTGGATGATAACCTCGCTTCTTGGGGGAATACTCACAGTCTCAACAGTGGTAATGCGGAAACAACCTAGTGACCCCTCTATTGTCATACTGATGTCCTTCCCATTGATGGTCAGCACTTCATTGCTCATGTCTATAGTACAATTGTTTTCCTTAAGGAAGTCAAGACCTAAAATGCCATCTACTTTGATGTCTGTCACCACAGCTTCATTGTGGTATGTCTTTTTGTCAATGGTGAAGTTAAACTCCGCCTTCCCTCTGACGGATAATGGCGTACCATTGGCAGACATGATGGTCTGGCTAACTTTATGTAGGTTAGGTCTGACTGTTTCAGGCAATCTCTCGTACAGCCTCGTCGATATGAGAGTAACAGTAGCACCGGTGTCAACCAAAACTTTTGTTTTCTCACCCTGGATATTGACACTGACATACAACCCACATTCTTCAATTGAAGATCCCAGACCAACAGACACTTGGGGACCTTTACTTGGCCCTTTGTCATCTTGATGAGACTTTGACTTGTGGTCATCAGATCTACCGTACTTCTGTTTTGACCTATTTCTCAATGTAGGACAATTGCGCTTGATATGCCCTGGTTGGTCACATTCATAGCAAATGACTTCTGGTCTTGGCCTATCTCTATCTGCTTTCTTTCCACTGTTCTTATACCACCTGTTATTCTGTATTTGCCTCGTTGTCTTTAATTCTTTCAACTCCTCTGCTAAGCTTTTCATACTATCTTCAACAGACTTCATCCAACCCTCCAGTCTGCCATTTACAACTGTCTCCTGTTGCTCTTCTGCCACAGCCGATCTTAAATGCCCCTTCAGCTCTCGTTCCCTTCTTTCGACTCTATTGTATGCCTCTAGTTCAACTGCGAGACTTATTGCCTCATTAAAATTGGCTGGTCGTGACTGTTTGATTCGAATACGAATATCTGAATCTATCAGTGCATCAATGAAATGGTCTTTTGCAAGAGTCTCTCTTACTTCACCAGGTGCTGTAGGGTATGCTAAGTTTGTAAGACGACGAATGGCTTTACCAAGCTCAGATAATGTTTCAGTAGCCTTTTGTCGCCTTTCTTTGAGCTGCACTCTGTACAAATCGGTCTGGTTCGGAGGAGAGAATCTTTCTTGCAAAGATCTAACAAGTGCCCCGTATTGCTGTCCCCTGTCACTTGGCATGTCGCCTAGCACAGCTTGTGCTTGCCCTCGCAGAGACAACGCAAGGAACAACCCCTTTTTCACTTCGTCCCAGCCATTGACATTTGCACATGCTTCAAAATGGCACTTGTAATCAAGCCAAGAGCTCGAGCCATCATAAGTCGCTGGTTTAATGGCTATTTTATTGTCTCGATCCACCATAGACGTCTCTGTCTGCAATGGCATAGAAGCGTTGTATTTGGGATCATCTCGCTCAGGAGACTTCTGGCGATTACTTGCACCGAAGGACAGATTGCTTCTCAGCCAGTCATCATTCGCTTGTCCTCTGCCACGTGGCTCCTCGGCAAAGTGGACCCTTGGTCTAACCCCACCACTGGCATATGGATA